GTACTGGCAGGTGGACCAGCTGGTTTACATCGAGAGACGTGGGGACTAGGGGAAAAGATGCTGCTTTGCAGCTGGAGGAAAGCAGCAAGGAGCGGACGTGACTGGGGGGAGTCAAAAACGAAAAAAGAATAAAATAAGAAAAGAAACGGGCAGACAAAATGAAGAGGCCAAGTAGGTGAGAAAGGCAGAAAGAATAAAAAAAACAGCTGCCTTTGGCAGCTGGCGTGACTGATGCGTAATATATTAAGCACACAAATTAAACCCTCTTTTTGTCAAATTGTATTAAAGATGTAAGTAGGGATCGTTCTAGACCGGGGATTAGGAGGGATTGCTAAACACTTGGAAACTGACTTAAACACTCAAAAAACAAAGTTAAAAACACTAAACTAGACTCAAAGAATGCAAAACTAAAAGTTAAAACACTTAAACAAACCTAAAACTTAAAACAGCAACTAGAAGGCTCAAAACTGCCTAAAAACCACTTTCTGGGCAGTTTTGAGCACCTACACTAATTTGGACGAAATTTGATGAAAACTTGAATCAAAATACTTAGAAACACAAATCAAAACACTTTCTAACTAATCTAAGACTTCAAATTAAAGGGGGAATTGTTTTGGACTAAAATTGAAAACAACACAGAAACTTGAAACTAAACAGATTGTAAAAACGATTTTGGTGAAATAGATGGTTAAAAAGCTAGTTAGGAGGTTCTTCTCCACACATGTCACACTTGCAAACAAAACGATTTTCAGTTGTTCTTCCGATAAATTATGAATACTCAACGCCCCAAGTTAACCGTGAATTGCACTAATTAACCCTCAGTTTTTTCCACGAGTTATTAAGTTGGATGATTGCATACGACAACCCAAAACATTCCCTACAAGTTCCCTACATGAATTGCATAATAGAGATACAAGCAAGAATCATTACGTTCTATGAAAAACATAAGCATTGACGAAGCATTTGTTACTATGAATTGCATGAAACTTATGCTAAGAATTTATTCAACGCGATCGTTTTCAAGCGATCTTCACTACTTGTGATTATAAGATTGTAACTATTAGGTGAAACTCCTTCATAATCTAGCATCATATTCATGCATGAAAACTAAGCGTGCACTCTCAATCAACATACACAAATAAGTTATCAATCAAATAGATGAACGAATTGAATCCATAACTCATGAAATAACAACTGAATGTAATCGAATCAAATTGCAAGCATGTACATGGTTTCGAATCACCCCCCAACTAAGGGGGTTTAGTTCCTCATACTCACAACACAAAGTTTATTGAATTGAGACATCGAAGACATAAGAAAGATTACACCTAAAATGCCAAAGAAGTCCACTTTGAATTCTGCACAGAAAGCTCCTCTTTCTTCTTCTCCTTGTTGCGGCAGAGTTGGTTTAGGGGGTTTTTTGGATGGTTTTGGATGACTTTGGATGAGGGAGAATGGTGGAAAACTATCTAGGATAGGTGTAGGGCACGGCTAGGAAGGTTTGGGGTCAGAGAATATGGATTTGGGTGTAGGTTGGGCTCGGCAAAGGTGAGGGACAGGTTCTGGCGTGAATGGAGTTTGCTGGATGTGTTTTTGGTTTTTAGAAGGGAGTTAGGATGGTAGGGTGGTGCGGCAAGGTGTGGGAAAGAGTTATGGAGGTGTGGAATGGTGTCTAAAGGTGGAGGATGGTGGCTGGAATGAATCAAAGGCTGCGGCAAGATGTGGTTTTGGTGATGGTGGCTGCGGCAAGATGTGGAAAGGGGGAGATGATTTTCTGATTTTATGGAGAGGGAAGAAGATGTACGGCCAGGTGGTAAAAACACAAATATATAAGCACCTAAAACCCTAATGAAATCAGATTAGACAACAATGGGCTAGGGTTTGTGCGGCACTTAAGTGAACATGGGCTAGGGTTTGTAAAATAGGCTTCTAGGAAGGAAATGTGCGGCTTGGGTTTAGGAGAATTGGGTTAGGGTTTAACATGGCAGAATTTAGATAATTAGGCCCTAGGGTACGGCAGAGGATAAAGGTCCACAAGGAATTTGGGTTTAGGTCATCTAAAAGCCCAACGCCGAGAATAGAAACTCTCGAAATTAGAAACCTCCAAGAATAGAAACTTCCAACTTTAGAAACTTTGGTTGCCAATTCCGATTTAGGAAAGATCAACCCAAAATGGAAACTTTTAGGCTTAGCTTTCCTACTTCAAGTAGGAAACCTCAAATCTTCAACTCTTCAATTTCATCCCAACCTTGTGTTCCAAGCATGTCCTTTTCAATCCAAGCTCACATTTTGCTCCAAAAGCTCCAATTTGCATCGTTTCATGTAATACGTCCGCTAAACCTGAAAACACAAGAAAGTAGCTTAAAAGACTACTTTAACGAAGAAAACATAACAAAGATGCATAAGAACTAGCTAACTAAGGCGCATAAATATGCTCCTATCAGTGACTGACAGAAGAGAGAAATAAATAAAAAAAAAGGGAAAACAGGTGGGCTTGGCAGAGAGAGATAGAGAAGAAGAAAGATATAAAAATAAGAAGAGGCTGGCGTGATTAAGGGGGTCGGGGGAGCGGGAGAAAGGGGCTGCCCTTTGGGCAGCTCGCAGAGACGCAGGAACGAGAGAGCAGCAAGAAGCTGCGTGAAGAAGAGAGAGTAAGCTGCCTTAGGCAGAGGAAAAACGGAAAGACTGGCGGGGAGAGAGAGGGAGACACTTGCGAAACCAGAGGAGAGAGCAGTCAGCGTGGAAGGCTGACGGAGCAGGGCGCAGACAGAATAAGAAAATAAGAAGGGAAGAACGCTGCCCTTTGGCAGTGAGGTCAGGGAGAGCTGGAAGGCAGGCGCACGGACAGACTGAAGCATCCTCCTCTTTCGGTTTAATCTTTCCAAACTTCTATTTTATTTTTGTTTTAATAATGTGTAATTAAATTTATTTTGGCTAGAGGTTAATTCAAAGTCATGAATATATTTGTAATATGAATTGATTACCTTCGGTTGTGATTTAAAAAATAAAAAAAAAATGGCGCCAAAATTTGATGGGAGAATTCCTTGACACACAAATTAAACCCTCTTTTTGACAATTGTAGTAAAGATGTAAGTAGGGTATCGTTCTAGGCCGGGGATTAGGAGGGATTGCTAATCTATTCTAAATTAATTTAAAAATATTAAACAAGACTCAAGGACACAAAACTAGGCTAAAAACTCTAATAACTCGAAACACACTTAGAATGACTCAAAATAATGAAAACAATCAAATTAAACACTAGGAATTGAAATGGACGAAAATTGAATTAAAAGACTAACAACAATGAAAACTAACTAAATAATATAATTTAATAATGGATGGGTGTTTGGTTTTGATGAAAAGTAAATTAAACTTAATTAAAGTACAGAATTGACAAAACATAAAATTAAGGTAAAATGATAAATGACGGACTAGCTAGAGGGTTCTTCTCCACACATGTTATACTTGCATACAAAATGATTTCCAGTTGCTTTTCGATAAGCTATGAATACTCAACGCCCCAAATTAACCGTGAATTGCACTAATTAACCCTCAGTTTTTCCACAAGTTATTGGGTTGGATGATTGCATACGACAACCCAAAACATTCCCTACAAGTTCCCTACATGAGTTGCATAATAGAGATACAAGCAAGAATCATTAAGTTTTATGAAAAACATAAGCATTGACGGGACACTCGTTACTATGATTTGCATGAAACTTATGCCAAGAATTTACTTAACGTGATTGTGACTAGCAACCTTTACTACTTGTGAATATAAGTTCATAACGATTAGGTGAAATTCACTTATATTCTAGCATCAAATTCATGCATGTAAATTAAGCGTGCACTCTCAACCAACATACACAAATCAGTTTTTATACGAACGGATAAGTAAATTGAATTCACAACTTATGAAATCACAACCGAAGGTAATCAATTCATATTACAAATATATTCATGACTTTGAATTAACCTCTAGCCAAAATAAATTTAATTACACATTATTAAAACAAAAATAAAATAGAAGTTTGGAAAGATTAAACCGAAAGAGGAGGATGCTTCAGTCTGTCCGTGCGCCTGCCTTCCAGCTCTCCCTGACCTCACTGCCAAAGGGCAGCGTTCTTCCCTTCTTATTTTCTTATTCTGTCTGCGCCCTGCTCCGTCAGCCTTCCACGCTGACTGCTCTCTCCTCTGGTTTCGCAAGTGTCTCCCTCTCTCTCCCCGCCAGTCTTTCCGTTTTTCCTCTGCCTAAGGTAGCTTACTCTCTCTTCTTCACGCAGTTTCTTGCTGCTCTCTCGTTCCTGCGTCTCTGCGAGCTGCCCAAAGGGCAGCCCCTTTCTCCCGCTCCCCGACCCCCTTTATCACGCCAGCCTCTTCTTATTTTTATATCTTTCTTCTTCTCTATCTCTCTCTGCCAAGCCCACCTGTTTTCCCTTTTTTTTTATTTATTTCTCTCTTCTGTCAGTCACGCCAGCTGCCAAAGGCAGCTGTTTTTTTTATTCTTTCTGCCTTTCTCACCTACTTGGCCTCTTCATTTTGTCTGCCCGTTTCTTTTCTTATTTTATTCTTTTTTTCGTTTTTGACTCCCCCCAGTCACGTCCGCTCCTTGCTGCTTTCCTCCAGCTGCAAAGCAGCATCTTTTCCCCTAGTCCCCACGTCTCTCGATGTAAACCAGCTGGTCCACCTGCCAGTACCCACGGCAGCTTGCACTTGCCCGTCTTCTTATTTCCATCAGATTCTTCTTTTCTACCTTCCTTTTAATATATAGACATAGAGAGGGACAAACCTTGTTTATAAAATGTAAATTAGTATTATCATGTGACAATAAAGGGTAAATTTGCATAACAGATCCTATAAACACAAAAATAACGTAAATAGCTCAAAAATATAAGGAACTAACCAAGAAAAGACGAGTGAATTCGAAGTAAAAATATATATAAATATGATCCGATCATCGCTAAACACCAATGCTCAAAGAATGCACAAAGGACGGAAGGATGGCAATCATAACTGAACAAAGACGCATAGACATCATGATAAAGGCCCATGTTGGTAAGTACATCTTTGGAGTAGCTCAAGGCATCTTTAAGCCACTTCCAGTAAAACTCAGCAAAGACGGCTCCTCCAGTAGTCGACAAGGTGCTACTCCAAGTTATAGCTCCGTTGAGGATACGATCGCCAAGAAGCTCAAACAAAGCGGGAAAATTATCACGCGCATGGTGCGAAAGGTTCAAGCTGAGAATTCTCGATGTACACACAGTCTTCTTTGCATTTGGTTGACAAGAAACTGTAACCTCCCAAGATACTTCAGAATACCACAACTTGATATGCGGAGTTGTCTTTCGTAGGAAGGGTAAGCACCTTAGAGCCCGTCAACGGCGCACCAAGCTTCAACGTCGTTCCCCTATCTTGCGAATCACCTTCCTTCGCAAGAATGGTGATGCGGTTGCTCTTAAAGCACTTGAAATGGCTGCAACGGAAAGAACAACCATAAAAATTGAGCAGCACTGCAAAGAAGACAGCTATAAGACGGTCATTCCAAGCAGCAGCAAGAGGCACAACGAAGTCACCACCAAGGAAAGTCATGACCAAAAGTCACTACGCATCATAAACTCACTGCAGTCTTTTTCACTGTTAGAAGTATACCCACAAAGCCACTCATTTGATGTAATAGCTTTTTGGAATACTTAATGTATTAAACTTTTATATGTTTAATGAAGGGCAAAGCTTATTGTTAATCACTATTTATTGTATCATGTGTTTAAGCAATAAGGGAATCCAAGGGATGTATTTGATCTAAGAGACAAGTGATCTAAGTGAGTTAGATTATCAAGACCATTCTCTTATGTTCATTCCTAAAACGTTCCTAGCCATAGGATTGCCAATTGGGCATTGACAATCCGCTAAGGTTAGTATGTGTTATGTTGACTTAAGCGTGAGTATGACTAGTCTCAAGTCATTTGGTGTTGGACACTAAGACAAACACATAGGTGCTCGAAAGAGTAATCGAGTACACTGAACTACGATCAAAAGAGAGTTCGAACATACATGTCATGTATGAACTCTAAAGTTGCAATATGCAAAGTAGTCCTTTGACCTGAGGCATCATAGATGTCTAATGGTTAGGTCCTTGATCTTTGATCATGTCAAACGGCATTCCATCGGAGTGTCCACGGCATTGTTGGGGTCAAGCTATCTAGTCATGTAGGCATATGAATGCACAACAAGGGATCTCTAACCTTCCATGGTGGAAGGAGAATACTCTAAGATATGATTCTAAAGTCTTTGGCCAAAGCATATGAATATGACTTAGGAAGTTTGTTCCAAATCATATTCAAGGGAATCATATAGAGATGTATCACATTGGATAGTAGACATGAAACAAACTATCACTCAAACAATGTGATTAAGAGTATTGTATTAGAGAAGGACCGTATTGCATTGTAGTTGCAACTGGATAGGTTCTCCAACCAATTCTACTTAGCTTGGGTAACCATGACATACTGCTAGGTGTCACTCATGGTTTGTGGAAGCCCTAAATGATTAGCAAACACTAATCATTAAGGGAGAATTGAAATGTGGTTTCAATTTCACAATCGATCGTTAAGAGTAACAATCGCCCACTTCCTCGCTAATTGGAACGTAATGGATCGTACACCGAGTAAGGATGTATGTGAGGAAATTAAATGAAATGGATAAGCAATTAAATTGTTTAATTGAAGAATGGTCAAGATTAATTAATTAGTTAATTAATTTTACGAAAGGTTCGTATTGGGCTTTTAAGTTGGTTTTGGGCTTCGGGGCTCAAAAGCGTTTTGGTCCACAAGGCCCATTATGTTTAAGTTGTATGACAACTAAAACAAAATGGGCAATTAGCCCAATAACAAAGGTAAGGCCGGCCATAAGGGTGAGGGTAGCAAACTTAGATTAATTACAAGTTTGCCACTCACTTGAAATGAAGTATAAAATCAACTTTATAGCTTTATTTCTCATTAGGGTTTTTCTAAAAGAAATTGGGTGAAACACTTTCTCTCATTTTTCTCTAAAGAGGCCGGCCACTTAGGGGAGGGATATCTAGCAATCTCTTCTTCCCTAAGTCATCCATATTATCTTCACAAAATACATCCTTGGTGTGGAGACTTAGAGACATCAAACTTTTGGTGTTTTGGAGAACAAATCCTCAAATCCTCAAAGAATCAAAGGAGCACTAAAAGGAGGAAAATCACAAGGAATATTCAAGGAGCTTGGAGGTGACTTGAAGGCCCTCCACTTGGGTGAATCCCTTGTGTAAACAAGGATGAGCTTCAAGGGTAAAGAAACTCTAAATCTTTACTTCTCTTTAATGTTGTTAAAGAGTTTATTGGTTCACCATATACTAGGCTTTGAAAGTCATGGGTTTTATGAATTGTTTTTGAATGCATGCCTACTTTAAAGTGTTAATAGCTTGCATATGTATTCAAATGTTCATACTTGTTCTTAGCTAGGACAAATTTTTTCCTTCATGCACAACCCCACATGGTAAAAGTGACGCATTGCAACAAGCTCCAAGTAGCGGCAAGAGGCACAATGAAGAAAGTGCTCATCGTTCATCATCCGTTCATCCTAAGATCAAGCCCGACGACCCTTTGGATCAACAACATCAACAAATCCACACATCCATTCTTCAAGATCAAGCCCAAAAGCCCTTGAAGATCCATTCATCCCCGTTCTTCAAGATCAAGCCTAAAAGCCCCTTGAAGATCCATTCATCCATCAACCTTCAAGATCAAGCCCTCGAAGGCCCCTTGAAGAAACTTCCCTCAACCTTCAAGATTAAGCTCCTAAGGCCCTTGAAGAAACTTCCAACTGTTCATCCAAGATCAAGCCTTGACGACCCTTGGATCAACAAAATATCCACAAGTCTACATCTTAAGGAGATTGAATCAGAGGATCAAACTACAAAAAGATTGTAACCCCAAATCATTAAGACAAAATATTATTTTGTACACGTGTTCTTGTCTCATTTCATCTCAGGAAAATTCATGTTTATAGCTTCAAGATAAGATCTTCACAGAGAGCTGGTCTGTTTTCTATACCTTTGATTGAGACACGCACTGGTTATTTAATTATTAATTGGCAGCCATTAAATTCTTAAAAGAGGTTTTCGCTGATTTACTTTTGAATTTAGACCACCTTATTACTTTTCAAGATAAAATCTTCTGCACCTAAAATGAGTATGATTTCTCTGTTGCTCCAATTGTTGTTTGATACATATTTAATTTATGATAATAAAGTTAAGAAAAATTAACTGTATGAATACGTGTTACTCATTAATCGAAACCACAAAGAGACCACACTAACTTTGGATGCAGCAGATTTGATCTCTTGCTTTTTACTCTAGAATTTTATTCTAGCCAATTTCTCACCTAAATTTTACAAATAGATATCACCTCACTATTTGCTCCATGATTTCAATTTTTTGCACAAAAATGTTATTCTTACTATCTATTTGTATCATCATATGTAAGGGTCGGTTTGGTTCTGATTGGTTCGATTTTTTGCCAAAATCGAAAACCAAACCGAAGTTAATGTTCAATTCGATTCAGTTCAGTTTTGTTCTCATTTTTTTGTTCGGTTTTTCTGGTTCAGTTCTGATTTTTCATTGATTTTTTTATATTTTTAATTCTGAAATTGATATGTGGGCGATTCTTCTTACATACTCAATTTACTTTGTCTGGAAGAACACTAGCAACGACTTGCTATTGTCCTCTTTCCCTTATTTTTGCTGCGAAAATAACTATAGAAAAAAATACAAAGATACTAATCAATTATTGATAGGAGCATATTTATGCGACTTAGTTAGCTTGTTTTCTTGCATTTTCATAGCTAGTTTATACTTATTATAGTGTTTTAAGCTATTTTCGTGTGTTTGTAGGTCCAAATGACAAAGTTGGCAAGAAAGTGCAATTTAGAGCTTTTTGAAGCAGTTTTGGGCATCAATTGGATAGCTTATGAGTGGAGCATGATGGATGGACGAATTTGAAGACCAAAGATGTTTAGGAATGTGCTAAAGAGTTGAAGAAGTAAATCCAAGACAAAGAAGATAAGGAATCAGCTCAAAAGAATGATATATTATCCAAACTGCCTTATCTTATCGAAAACCTTATCCAACCTTATCTTATCCAAACTAACCTTATCTTATCTTCTCCTTTCCTAATCTAGCATTACCCTATCCTATCTTATCCAAATCAGTTTGTGCCTTAATTCCAGCTATTTCTAAGGGATAATTATGCATTTAAAATACATATTTCAGATTCTAGAGCCCTTATCCCTTATGTGCCGCATATATGCCTTTCCTTGGTGAGTTAGGAATTGTAATCCTTCACTAAAATCCATGCCATGTATCCTTGTCCCTTTAGGTCCAGAAATCTGTTCTAAAACATCTTTTCTAGAAGCTCTAGGTCCTGCCGCATCTTTCTAACCTAATTCTCCTTGGTTTCTGGTTGTTTTAAACCCATTCCACTTGGGTTTTGGTTACACAATCCTATTCCTACTCAACCTTATGTCGTGCCTAGCCCTATATATATATATATATATATATACACACACTTATGCGCCTATTTTAGAGGACACACCCATATATTCAGATACAATTGAGAGATTTCAGAGAGTTCAAAGGTGTGCTTGCATGGAAGGAAGGAGAAGAAGGAGCTTTGTACCATGGCTTGCAATCCAATGAGGGTTCAAAATCTACCATTGGAGCTACTGGGATGTTCCTGGTTCATTCTATCCTTAGATTTGTTTCAATGTTGCTTTTAATTTGGTTTTATGTTTTCAAAGACATGAGGAACTAATTTCTTTTTAGTTAGAAGTGAATTCGAAGCCATGATTATATGTTTTATATGAATTGATTACATCCAGTTATTGTTTTTTGAGTCTTGAATGTGATGTGCTTATCTGAGTTATCAAAACTTGTTTATGTATGTTGATTGAGGATGCATACTTAATTTTCTTGCATAAACTTGATGCTAGAGTATAAGGGTGTTCCACCTAATCGTTATGAAATTATATTCACAAGTAGTAAAAGTCACTAGTCATGATAGTGTTAAGTGAATCTTAGGCAGGAGTATCATGCTTTTCATAGTTACGAATGCCTCGTCAATGCTTATGGTTTTCAAGGAACTTAATGATCTTTGATATGTCTCTCTATCATGCTTTTCATAGTTAGGGAACTTGATAAGGATAATTTGGTTGTGATGCGTATCCCGTCTAATCAATGAGTTAAGGAAAATCTGATGGTTAATTTGTGTTGTCACGGTTAACTTGGGGTGTTGTCATTCATAGTCTAAGGGAACAATACTGGAAATTGGTTTATATGCATATGTCATGTGTGGAGAAGGATCCTCTGGCTATGTTTTCACCATTCAAATCACCTAATTTATTTTGTTTTGCAATCTGTTTAATTTAGTTAAATTTCGTTAAAATCAATCCCCCTTTTAATTAAGTGTCTTAGATTAGTTAGAAAAGTGTTTAAATCTGTCCAAATTAGTGTTTTGGGTCCTACTAGTCTTCAATTCATCCAAATAGTCCCTAGAGTCTGTTTTGAGTCTTTTTTTATTGTTTGTTGCTGTTTTGAGTGTTTTGAGTCAGTTTTGAGTGTATAGAGTCTACTTTAGTGTTTTTGAGTCTTATTTATGTTGATTAGCATCCCTAGTTAATCCCCAGTCTAGAACGATCCCTACTTACATCTTTACTACAATTGTCATCAATAGGGTTTAATTTGTGTGTCAAGTTAATTTTCACATCAATTATTTTTACCTTCAAAGCCAAAGCTACAAGTTCACAACAAACGAACAAAAAAATATTGAAAGCTAAGACCAAAATGAAAAAAAAAATTAATTAAAAAACTCCATCAGAAGAATTCTTAACTAGTACAAAGAAAAAAAAAGCCAGGTACAATAAATTTAATAAATAAAAACAAAATTTCACTCCAATTATAGGCCTTGGAGGATGTTGGCGTGCTCAATTTTGCATTGAAATACAAAACTAAAGCTATAGAGAATTCCTTTTTGTCCAACTACTATCTTATTTCGACAAACCCATCACAAAATTCATTCAGAAAAAACTCAGACCAATTCACAAACCCATCACAAAATTCATTCAAAAACTTACAAAGATACAAATCTCAGAGAAATGTACAAAATTCATTCACATAATCACCTAGATCTTGGGTTCAAATTTCAAACAAAATATTTCTTACCCCTCTAAAAGTTTGACTCACAAGAGTTGTTGTGACTGCTGGTGAGTATGGATTCTTAGCTGAGATCAGAGGATTTACGAGGGAGATAGAAAGACTTGCATTGTCGTGGATGAGGAAGAGAGGAAAGATCCAGCTAGGGACAAAAAAAGAAAAAAGAAGAGGGAAGAGGGAGTGAATAGTGAAGATGGAGGACGGAGAAGGGAAAAAGAAAGAACATGGAGAGAAGTGGTGCGGCTAGAAAGAAAGAACAAAGTGAGAGAAGATATGTTAGGGTTTAGTTGTTAAAAGGCTTTTTCTAATAATATACTAGCATTTGCCTACACACTTTGTGTGTATGAACATATTTTTTTAGAAAATGAGAAGAAGAGAGGAAGAGAGAGAGAGAGAGAGAGAGAGAGAGAGAGAGAGAGAGAGAGAGAGAACGTGGAGGGGGGAGTGGGAGTGGGAGGTTTTTGTTTTTGGTTTTTGGTTTTTTTTTATTTTAAATATTAGAGATATTTTAACATTACATGTAGGTGAGGCTTTAATAAAAAACAGTAAAATTTGGACTTGTGAAATTACATTATTACCCGTCATTTTTTTTTTAGGTGATAGAAAACTAAATTGTCTTTTCATCCTCTTTTGGTTGACAAAGAGGGTTTCATTAATTAGTAGAGATATGGGCTTAAAAGTTTGGGAACATTGGGCTTAGAAATTTGGTTTTGAAGATAATACCCAAAAACAAATTAAATAATAAAATAAATAAATATTAATTTGATATAATTATTTGATTCGATTCAGTTCGGTTTTCAAACCAATGAAATCGAAACGAACCAAAGGATTTCAATTCGGTTTGGTTTTTTCATTTGGTTCGGTTTGTTTAACACATCCCTAATCATATGTATCATCATTCTAATAGAGATGAGACGCACATGTGCAGGTGATAGGAGCATATTTGTGCGACTTAGTTAGCTTGTTTTCTTGCATTTTCATAGCTCGTTTCTACTTATTATAGTGTTTTAAGCTATTTTAGTGTGCTTGTAGGTCTAATTGGCAAAGTTGGCAAGAAAGTGTAATTGGATGCATTTTGAAGCACTTTTGGGCTGAATTGGATTGCATGCATGTGAAGCATAAGGAATGGACGTTTTTGAAGATCAAATGAAGCTAGGAACGTGCTAAAGAGATGGAGAAATCAATTCAAGACTTGGAAGATGAATATTCCGCTGTAAGGGCACCTAAATCCCTTCTAGAAGGCCTATCCCTTCACTTAAACACATGCCGCACCACTCTTTCTAGAAGCCCTAGAAAGGTGGCACCCCAAATTCTTTCTAGAAGCCTAAGAACCTGCCATAAGATATTCTTTCTAGAACCCCTAAAAGAGTGTCGCACCGTATAGTTCTAGAAACCCTAAAAATCTGCCACAAACCCTAGTTCTTTTCCCCCTTGGATTGGGCCAAGCCTTCCGCTACAAAACCCTAGCCTTTTCCCATTAGAATTTGTGAAAACCCTAGCCTATAAATATGAGTGTTTCAGCCACAATTTCGAACACAACCCTCTACCATTCAGAAACACCTCTCAGGCGCAACAATTCATCAATCTACACCATTCTCCACCACCATACATCCTTGCCACAGCCCCCATTCAACTTAAAACATATTCCTGACCCTTCCATTCATCCATACACATCCATAGACACTTGTGCCGCAGCAAGGTGGGGAAGAAGAAGGGCCTTTGGCGTTTCAAGCTTGGAGATTGGAGCGTTTTAGGTGTACTTTGTTCTTGTTTTCAATGTTTACTTTGTTATTTTCTGATTTTGCTGTGACTATGAGTGGCTAAACTCCTAATTAGTTAGGGGAAGTTTGAAGCCATGAACATGCTTGAGATATGAATTGATTTTTGCCAATTGTGATTTGATAAGTTGTGATTGCAATTCAATTAACTGTTTTCTTCAAAATTGATTCTTGTATGTGGATTAAGGATGCAAACTTAGTTTTCATGCATAAATTTGATGCTAGAATATAAATGAGTTTCACCTAATCATTACAAGTTTATATTCATGAGCAGTAAAGGTTACTAGTCACAATCGCGTTAATTGAGTTCTTGGCAAAAGTATCATGCATTCATAGATACAATTGTCTCGTCAACACTTATAATTTTCATGCAACGTAATGATCTCTGATTGTATCTCTATTATGCATTCATGTAGGGGACTTTTGGAGAATGATTTGGGTTGTCGCATGCATTCATCCAATTCAATGAGTAAAGGAAAATTTGAGGGTTAATTAGTGCATCACGGTTAATCTGGGGTGTTGAGCATCATAATTTATTGAAAAGCAATTGGAAATCGATTCATGTACAAGTGTGTCATGTGTGAAGAACGGACCTCTAACTAATCCATCCATCATCTTATTTCCCAAAATCGTTTTACAATCTGCCTAGTTTTATAACTTGTTGTTTGTTTCAATTTCATCAAAACTAAAACCCCCTTTTACTTTCTTGTTTCAAAGTGTTTAAAATCTATTTCGTTTGTATTTTCAAGTGTTTTGAGTCAAGCCAAAACCCTAAATTCGTCCAAAGTTGTGTTAGAGTCAGAAACTGCCTAGTTGGTGTTTTTAGGCAGTTTTGGGTGTTTTTAAGTTGTTTTGAGTCTTGTGAACCTATTTTGAGTCCTTTGAGTCTATTTAAACGTTTTTAACTTTGTTTTTATGTTTTTGAGTCAGTTTAAAGGTTTTAGCAAGCCCTCCTAATCCCTGATTTAGAACAATCCCTACTTGCATTTATACTACAATTTGACAACAAGAGGGTTTAATTTGAGTGCTTAACTTTTATCACATCAGCAGGTAGACCCTACCTCCATTAGAGAAATGGTACAAATGATGATAAGTGTAACACTACCTCCATTAGAGAAATGGTACAAATGATGATAAGTGTGACACTACTCATTTTGTTCTTTTGATCCATGTATATTGTCAATTTATCAAAGTGTGTATAAACTGATGTTTTTACCCACATACCACGCGACAAATATGGACGGAAGGATGTATAAAGAAATTAGCAAATCTTACGGTGAAGGGCAGATAATTAGTTAATAATAAAAGTTCATGAAGGGAAATGGCTAAAGTAAAAATTCTAGTTCACAAATGCAGGGAACAAGTCATTGAAAATCCCTGTAACTTTTATTAATTGATAAAATCTTGTACGTGAAAATTAATTTATTTATATCTAAATAGGTATAAGATGAAAAATGCAATTATCGAAGGAGGAATTCCATTTGAAATGGCTCATGGCTCGCACGCCTTCAAGTACGTAGGATACGACCAGAGGTTTAATCAAGCTTTCAACATAGGAATGAACAGCATCACCACCATGCTTGTAAAGAAGATTCTTGAGGTTTACATGGGTTTTGAGAACCTTAAGAAAGTTGTGGATGTTGGTGGTGGTCTCGGGGTGGCCATTAGTCTAATCACTACCACATATCCTCACATTAAGGGTATCAATTATGATTTACCTCATGTTGTAAAAGATGCTCCTAAATATCCTGGTACGATTTAATATTTGTTTTGCATGCCATTGACAAATACAGTTTAACTAATATGGTAAAAAAAACTTTTATTTTATGCAAGTTATACATGAGAAATATAACCTCCAATATATTTTTCAGGTGTGGAACATGTAGGAGGAGACATGTTTGCAAGTATTCTCGATGCCGATGTTGTTTTTATGAAGGTGATTTTTTAATTTCTCAAGAGTACTTTCGTTTTAGTATATAGATGAGGCCCTTAAGGGAGCATATTTTCATTTTTTTTTTATAAAAAATAAGGATTAGTTGTGGAGTCCACATCATATCGAACTTTAAAGATCAGAATGGTCTACTTTTCAAGTTATACCTTATAGATAATCCTTGCAAAATATTGACCAAATCGAAAATATTTGACATCTAATTAAGTTCAAAGGAATTGACGAATACTTTGTTTTAAGAAAAGCATTGAAATTTCATCGTGATAATTAAATTAGCAAATGGTTTCAGATTGAATTGAATTTTTGTAAAGATAATCTATGAATCGAGACTTACAAAATAATGGTTCGGATCGTTGAAATTCGATATAAAGTGGGTTCCACAACTAATGTTACAGCCCGTCCCGGAGATATGTATGATTTTATTCTCGAGGATGTGAAAGGACGATTTTATCCTTAGACGTTGAAATTGTAGTGTATGTCTGGGTGACATATTTTGGTACTTGGATGTCATGTTCTTGGTTGGTTGGTGACCACGTGGGACACACACACACACAAACCTCCTTCTCTCTCTTCTCTCCCGTGCTCTCTCTTTCTCTCTCTCCTCTTTCTTCGTACGGACGACACCCAAAACCCATTGAAACGTGACAGATCGAGGGTGTGAAGCACACCATTGTGTTCGTGAGGACCATACGAGTTCAAAGTTACCATTTTCAGATAAGAACACCTTCGAAATCACGTGAAAACTCAAACCCCGAATGAAGTACTGTTCATGCACTAATTATTGTGAGGTTTTTAGGGGATTTCAAGCTCACAAGGAGCTTTAGAAGGTTGTCACGAAGCTCGAGGTATATCGTTGGAGTGTTTTGGACGTCGGGATAGTGAGTTTCAACCTTGGCTGCTTTTTCTCGAATTTTCCCAGTGAGATCCCGTGGTTTTTGAGGCTTGAAAGAGGTATAAACTTGTTCTATTCTCCATGCACTTCATTTTAGTATAAAGATTGTGAAAATGGTGCAAAAATGGTCGAGATATCATGGTTTAAAAAGATTTCCAGTTTTCTGGCGCTGGCGACGGTCGTCAGAGTTCAGAGGTAGGAGACGACGGAATCTTCCGTCAAGTCTAACGGAATATTTCGATGCCATCAGTTAGTTTGGACGGATTCCATTAGGACTTAACGAAATATTCCCCGGTATATACCTGACGGCGTTGAGTGACACTGTCAGTATGCCTGTCACGTGGCCGCGCGTGAGGGCGCGTTTTGCCGTGCCTTGGCCGGCGCGTGGGTGGTCGGAAAATTATTCTAAAAATATGGGGATGTTCGTGGAGTTGTGTAGATCACGTTGGTATATTCAAACACCCCATTTGAGAATTGTATGAGAAGTTATTAGCTACTTCTGTCTATGTGCTTTAAATAACGTTTTTATAGTTAATTCGCATATAGGTGAGACTTATCCATACGACGACCGCGTTCAAGGGCAACTTGGGGGCTACGATCCTTCGACATACCAGTGAGTGGGTTTTTGGTTTTTAGTATATATTAATATACTTGATATTTTCCCAGAACATACGTTTTAATATGAATATGCCTTGAATGCCATGCATATAAATTTATAATTCGTATATGAATTGATATATGATGCATTATATATAATTATGGTGCTGTGGATGCTCAGGTAAGCTCAGGTGAGTTATGTTTGGTTATGTGAATTATCGATGATGTGATATGGGATTGAATAACGTTCAGCTCATAAAACTGCACCTAGGGTGATTAAGATTTAGCCAGAGATATGACACAAGCCTGTTTATAATGTCACCTCCCGCACCATATGCTCATATTAGATCCAATTTAGGTGCACAATCTTGTCGTACAAACCTTCACTATGGTTCCGACTCGTAGGTGGCTAGCGATTTATCGCCCAGCTATTATGTGAGAGTAGTATTGAGCATAATTATATTACACCCAGTATTGTCGTACAGACCTTTTCATTTGGTTCTGACTCTTGTGCAGTATATTACTGTATAGGTCATTGTAGTGACTCCGGCTAGATTGACTTTTGAGCTATGAATTCAGCCGTATAGACTACCTCAGGGATTCCGGTTAACATGCTACATTTCTATGAAATTATTCTCACCTGAATTACTTACTCTGTTATATCTTGGCATGGCATACATATGAATATGATATTGTGAAGCATGATTTGAATTAATATATTTACATATATATTTATTTATATGCTTATATTCTGATTCTGAGAAAAATTATACATGTTTTACAGCGAGGCGTTAGAAATGTTGATAAATGAAATGGTTTTGTAAAACATTTGTTTTTGCCCACTCACGTTTCCTGTTTTGCGCCCCTCCAGGTTTTAGGTAAGCTTGTTGTTGGTGGCCTTGAGGATTTCGGTAGTTCTAACTTATCCAAATAATTGTAGGACATCTTATGGTACTGTATAATTAGTACTTGTCCTACTGGACTGCACCTAGACTTTTTATGCTCTGATTAGGAGTATTTACTTTTGTATCTTACTCCTACCACTTCTTGTTTAGTAGTGCACTCTAGTAATTCGGTTTTAAATATTCGTATATTTATTATCTTTATTGCTTCCGCACTGTGCACATGGCTACGTCACCCTCACGTGACGGCCAACATGCCTTGATCTCGGTCGGGGTGTGTAAACTAATCCTCATGTTTTGAATAAACTGATGATCATTTATCTTAAAGGGCCTATATATACATATATATTTATTTTTTTACATATGTTATATGACACCCTTCTTAAGATGGGTTTTCTAAAATAAATAAATAAAATATTTTAGACGTCCAAACCGTTTAATTTTGTATTGTTATATATTTACAACAAAAGTATTGAAATCCAAAATTCTTTGACCATTTGATTATCATCATGAATTATGTTTATCTCCTTCTTAAGTTATTGTTTGATAAGAATATAATTTTGGATTCGAGTAACTTTTTGCTGAGAATAATATTTGGAAGTCCTAAAAGTCAAATTGTTCAGACCATCATATTGCATTCATGGTTGGAATATATATGTTTATGTGTGAAGCATTCCATTTAGAAGTTTGCTCAAACAATATACGCTTTACTGAATTTAGTAACCATTAGAGGAAATTTGAAGTTCAAATCTTATGTACGGCAATTGTTGAATAATGTACGCTTTTATCTGTAGGGCATACTTCACGATTGGTTTGATGAAGACAGCATAAAATTGTTGAAAATTTGTTACAAAGCTCTTCCAGTAGATGGAAAAGTGATCGTTGTGGACGCAGTTCTGCCAAGCATCCCAGATAGTAAAAGTATTACGAAAAGCAACTACCTGCTCGATGTACATATGATGGTCCAAACCCCGGGAGGGAAGCAAAGGAGCGCAGAAGAGTTCATGGACTTGGCAACTGCTGCTGATTTTAGTGCCATCAAATTAGCATGCTTTGCGGCCCATCTTGGTGTCGTTGAGTTCTATAAGTAGGACAGAAAAATGGCATACTTTCATACATGGTATGAGAATGCACGGATGCATAATAAAGGTTTTGTTTGCTTTTTATAATTTGCAAATGTAGCTTTGTTCTACAATCATTGATATGGGAATAAATTATAAGGCATGGAACTTCGGCCTGATTTCATACACTGTCTATTGAGCTGTTCTGTACCCATCATGCATGCTCAAACCAACTCCAATGGTTGAGTTAAAACCCAAAATTTGAGTTTTAAACCACCTCAAAACTACACCAATCATTGGGCTTAGAAAAACTTTTGGATTAAAACTTAATCTTGGGTTAGATTCCGCCCAAAATTTCGGCCAAGATTATGTTGTGGCCCACCATATGTGTGGACGCGCCCAGAATTTTCTCATGCAAGGCACATTGACGAACCTCATGCTTTTGCACACAACAAAGCCGGAGTGGGTGCAACCCACCCCTGAGAGCTTTGTCAGCCACCCAAACCATAAAGTGTAATGCATAAGGTGTAATTGACATGGAAAAGTGTGAATAATTAAAACTTGAATTAAATGAAATAAGAGTGCACATGTGAGCTAATTAGAACCCTTATTACAAACATCAATGCCAAAGTAAAAGTGCAGCAAAAGGAAAAAGTATTCATACGCTCAAATGATGAATATTATTACACAAAGATAAAGCCTTCATATGTTATCAGAAGTTCTGGTAAGTTATTATTCCTCGTTTAGAATAGCTCAGCCTCTAGGTCTTGAAAGAGCAAAAAAACAAAGGTGAGTGAGCATAAAAGTAAATTTTTGTAAAACCTGTCATTTTGTGAAAGTTGTAACCCCTCACAGTAAAACAAGTATAGTTTCCAAAATAACATACTATTCATAAGTATACTGCATAGCACCCATCAGATGTAGTATTAAAAGGATACAGTACTGAACATTAAAATAAATAGTGATAAAAATAGTCATTGCTCAACAAATCATGTAAGTACACAAGTCATGCATAAAATAGCTACATGAACTCTAGGTGTATGATTACGTTCTAGTACTACAATCACGTGAAGTTGGTGCTAAGTGCTAACATCGGGTTCTAGTTGCCTACTGCAAAACTAGGAATAGGCTGACACCTACTCTTGATCCAAAGTGAACTTAAATGATGCATATGAACATATACATGAAGCTAGTCCTTGGCTTGAACATTGTGTGTGGAGCCAAAAATAATTAACAGGCGACACGTGGATTTTTGGGTAAAAAGGACAAAATTACCCTCGAGGCACATTGGGATTCCTACACGCGAGCAGTGGATAATCATCCCTCAATCAAGTCAAAAATGCCCAAAATAGGTAACAAATTCAAAGTTATTTCATCCATCCTCATCCTATATTTTCCATAAGGTAATTATTTCATAACCTTCAAAACATTCTATATAAATTGAGTTAATTGGCTAATTAATGGATTTATTCCTAATTAATCCATTAATTACCAATTAAATCACTCATTTCACACAAAAAGACCCCAAAGGGCCGGCCACCTTTTCTCAAAATGACGACCGGCCTTGCTCTATATATTGAACCCCATTTTCTCTAAAAACCTAGTTCCACACCCTTGCAAAACTCCAAAAACTCCCTAAACACTTTTCTTTCTAAATTCTAACTTTGGCATCAGAGGTTCTTCTGCCAAAGACCCCCCCCCCCAATTCATCGTGGGTGCGTGGGGCTTTTGGCCTTAACCAAAGGTGTTAATTGTTTTGTAGGTGCAATTTTGTCCAAGATCAATGAGGAAGAATTTTTCATCCACAAATTGGTGCTTTCATTGAGAGAAGACTGTCGCATCAAAAGGTTTTTCAACTTTCTTGTCCATTTGTAGATTTTTCGTATGTTCTTATTATTAGAATTTTTTATTTTCAAAGATTCTTTGATAAAATGTAAAAGAGAAATACAATGGCTAGAAATTTAGAAAATTCCACAAGTGAAAATTCCAATATTCAAGAAATGGGACCATGGCGATCCACGAGGCTAAATGTGATCATAGGAGCGGCATCATCGTTACGGGGCTCCACTATGGCAACCACCGCGGTGGCCACCACGGTCACCACTACCTGCAGCGAGGTCCATGGCACCACTACCATGTCTCGAGCCAAGCCATTCAAGCTTGCACGGGGCCAAGCCCAAGCCGTGCCATCCAATGCCTATGACACTAAAGTCATGACCCAAGCCTCACACTCGCATGCATCACGCACTGAGCAGCCTACTCCCGGGCCAAGCCTGATCTTACGACCAAGCTTGCTCCCACGACCCAGCCTGCTCCTGTCGAGCAGCCCATTCTCGTGGTCCAGCCTGATCCCGTGGCCTAGCCTGTTCTCGCCGAGCAGCCTACTCCCGTGGCCCAGCCTGCTCTCACCGAGCAGCCTATTCCCGTGGCCCAGCCTTCTCCCGTGGCCTTTCAAGCAGCCCAAATCGATCCAAGATTAGTTCAACTATCTTGGCTCTAAATTTTCGGACCGACGATCGAACTAGGAGCATTTTCACCATATTTTTCTTCGAATTTGACATTTCCCAACTCAAATCTTACGCTCGAAGTCTACCACACTTCCACTGCTTAAGGAGACGCATTCCTTCCAACCTATTCCAACCCAAATGGAGAACAACACTTGTGTTGACAAGTCATAGAGTTGACGAACGCCTTGGCATAGCAGACGACCTTGGTGAACCAGCTCTTGCAGCGCACCGAGATGCAACGTGCCCCAGACGAGGTGTCCCGATGTAGGACAATGGTAGACAAAGAACCTCTCCAACAATGTCCCGACAAGCAGCCACTCGACCAGCCACGAACCAAGCATTCAGGTAGTGTACACTCCTAATTGGGCCCTCGAGATAGCTTATACTCTCGTTTTAGCAGGCAAAAGAGCGTGCACTCTCGACTAAACCCACGGACGAGCGTACATTGATGGTTGAGGTGACATTCCGATAGTCAACATGAGCAATCTTTCAGGCGAAATGTTCATTCGCGGCTAAGCCCACAAGGAGCATCCTCCACCACACATCGGAGTAGGCAGCACGACGGATGGAGAGAAACAATCACTCAATCCGGCTCAAGTTCAATCGGCAACCTACGAAGAGCAACCTAGACCAACAAGTTGAGGCTGGAGGCAGCCGAAAGCTATGCTACCCCAACAAAGACAAATTCATGAAGAAGTAGAAAGACTATTGACCAAGCGATTGCATAATTTCCAACGCAACGAGGTCACCGACGAGGCACTACGACGAAACATGACCAACATAAGCAAGTCACCTTTCACAAACGAGATCGAGTAGACAGAGCCTCCACTCGAGTTTAGCATGTCATATTTCACATCTTTCAAAGAGGATGAAAACCCTGAGAGACACTTAAAGCACTACCAAAGCGTAATGATCCTCTATCGAAACAACAACGATCTCATATGCAAGATATTCGCCATCACTCTACAAGACGAGCCACAAGATTGGTTCTACACCCTACCGCCACAATCCATCCTGAGTTTCGACGAACTTTCTTTGGTTTTCACCAAAGAATATTCATCCCATCGCTCGATTAAAAAGAAGTCTGCCCATTTGTTCAACGTCAAGAATAACCCAAAGGAGTCGCTTCGCGACTATGTGAAAAGGTTCAAAGTAGATAAGGCAATGATAGTCAGAAGCAACGACTCGATAGCTAGAGCAGCCTTCCAAAAATGACTTCCAGTAAACCACCTGATATTCGAAAAATTGATCATGAAAGAAGATCTAACTTTGGCAGACTCTTTCGCTCTGGCAGAGAAGTATGCACTTTGGGACGAGGCTTGCCGATGCACATTCAAGAACTTGAAGAAGTTCCTGACATCACCTCCCTACTATCCAAACCGGAAACAATAGAGGACTTATTCGCATGTTTGACGGTATCTAAAACAGCAATAACCTCTACCATCATGCGAGAAGACCTGGTGGCCCGACTACCTATATTCTACAGTTCAAAAGCTCTCCTGGATGCTATTAGAAATTCAATAGCTAACTTTGGTGATAGTTGTTGCAACCCGGAAGCTCAAGTTTTACCTTCAAACGCATGCAATTATCCTTATGACGCACTATTCCGCCCAATCCAGACACGCGACGATAAAGGCATAATACCCTGGTGAATGTAAAGTTTTTTTATGAACGCAACAACTCAGCCCAAAGACACGCCAAGTGCAAACGAACACTGAAATGACACACTCGGAAGCAAGTTTTATCCTCGTCACCCCAAAAGATTCTACATAGGAGCAACATGTACCGACAGTTGAGCACCACCTCCTGTTACGTGTCACATGGTCCCAGCCTACTACATATTCACTATACAACAGAGCGACCCAACGAAGTCCCGGAAGTAGCCGAGCACACCCTAGCCGCGCCTGCTCCACCCAATAGAAACTTCTGGCATTTGCATGTCCACGACACATCCAACAACGAAGCAGAATACGAGACCCTACTAGAAGGCCTCCGAATGGAAAAAGACTTGGCACTGAAAAAGCTTGCAATTCATTTTGATTCACAGCTAATCACTAGCTAGACTGCTTGAGGCGTTTCAGACTTACACCCTCACTCAAGTTCCATAGGTAGACAATGCTTACATGGATGTACTAGCCGGCCTAGGCTCCGCCTTTGACCACCAACTCAAATTCTTTATTCTGATGGAGTATCTAGACGGGCCAAGCATAGAGGTGGAGCCAGCAGCCGAAGTGTCATAGGTTAGTACAACTCCAAATTGGCAAAGTTATATTATAGACTACCTGGTCAATGACACATTTCCTACGGAAAGGTTGGAGTCTAGAAAGCTTCAAATAAAGGCAGCACGCTACTACATGTGGAACGACATTCTCATCCAAAGATCCTACACTAGACCACATCTCTACTGCCTAGATCCTCCTAACGACCTAAAAGTTCTAAGCTCAATCCACAAAGGCATTTGTGGAAATCACTCCGGAGGCCAATCCTTAGCATATAAGGCTTTTAACGCAGGCTATTATTGGCCTACCATGCACTAAGATGCTAAGGAGTTAGTACAAAA